CAGCCCAGATGACAAAGCAAAATATTACAATGAAATGTGCAAGGAGCTGGAGTCAGAAAATCAAAAGGGCTGCTCTCATTCAGCATTTCTTAAGCTCAAGGAACTGAAGAAGAAATTCAAACCTTGAGTTGTAGGCAGAATATTAAATGATTCAGGAAGTATTAAAAGAAGATGGAAAGAATATACTGAGTCATTGCATCAAAAAGAATTGGCAGACACAGAAGAATTTAATAAAATAACATATGAGCAAGAAAGAGTCTATGGTGATGAAGGAAGAAGTTCAAGCTGCTTTGAAGGAAATAGCAAAATATAAGGCACCGGGAATAGACAGTATACCAAATTGACTTATTTCAGCTAGCAGATGCTGCTCTGGATTTGCTCACCAAGTTGTGCCAAGAAATCTGGAGAACAACCATTTGGCCAAATGACTGGGAGAGGATCTATATTTGTTCCCATTCCAAAGAAAGGTGACCCAACAGAATGCGGAAACTATAGAACAATCTCATTGATTTCACATGCAAGCAAGATTCTACCGAAGATTATCCAAAAATGACTGGAACAGCACATCAGCAGAGAACTGCCGGAAGTCCAGGCTGGGTTTAGAAGGGGTCGTGATACTAGGGATATTGTAGCTAATGTTAGATGGATCTTGGCTGAAAGCAAGGAATACCAGAGGAATGTCTATCTGTACTTCATTGATTATGCAAAGGCATTTTACTGTGTGGACTGTAACAAACTGTGGCTGACTCTGAGAAGAATGGGAATCCCAGAACACTTTATTGTGCTAATGCAAAACCTATACTTGTACAAAGAGGCAGTAATCAGAACAGAGCAGGGAAACACTGCATGGTTCAAAATTGGGAAAGGTGTATGCCAGGATGTGTCCTATCTCCATATCTTTTCAACTTGTATGCAGAAGAGATTATCAGAGAGGCTGGGCTCTATGAGGAGAAGTGTGGCGTCAGAATTGGTGGAAGATCTATCAACAATCTACATTATGCAGATGACACAACTCTGCTTGCTGAAACTGAGGTGGACCTGAAATGCTTGCTGCAGAGGGTCAAGGACTGCAGCCTTCAGTATGGATTGAGGTTCAATGTCAAAAAGACAAAGATTCTCACCACTGGACCAATTGGCAGCATCAGGATGGATGGGGAAGAGATTGAGATTGTTAACAGCTTTAGTCTGCTTGGCTCCACAGTCAACACTCTTAGTACCAGTAGCCAGGAAATAAAAAAAACGTATTGCTTATGATAAAGTTTGCTGTTAGATTCCTCTCCAGGGTACTGAAGAGCAATGGTGTCACTCTGGAGACTAAGGTGTGTCTGATATAGGCTATGGTCTTTGCTATCACTTGTTATGCATCAGAGAGTTGGACAATGTCTAGGGAGGATAGAAGGAGAATTGATGCCTTTGAGCTGTGGTGCTGGAGAAGAGTATTGAATGTACCATGGACTGTCAAGAAATCAAACAGATTCATCCTGGAGAGGGTTAAACCAGGCTGCTCCTTGGAGGCAAGGTTTCTGGGGCTTTGTCTGACATACTTTGGACATGTTGTAAGGAGGGACCGGTCCTTGGAGAGGGATATCCTGCTTGGGAGGGTGGAGGGATGGCGCAGGAGGGGAAGACCCTCTATGAGGTGGATTGATTCAGTGACTGGGGTAATTGGGATGGGTGTGTCAGAGGCAGTGTGATTGGCACAGGATAGATCAGGGATTAGGGCAGTTGTACATAGGGTTGCTTTGAGTCACAAGTGACTCGAAGGCACATAACAACAACAACATGAATCAAAGACCTGAATACTTGTGTAACTTTCATCCTTTCTCCAGGTTCATAGGGTTTCCGGAGGCAAGCTATTTCGGAATTGATGCCATTCCTGCTTCCAAGCTTGTTTAAATCAGGGAGCTCTACCAAACGCTGTCCACCATGGGTGACCATTGTTGCATTTGACACATCAGTCACAGCAACTACGAGTTACCTCTGTACAGCAAATGGACAGACCAGAGATATATGACCTGAAGAATGTTTGACCAAAAACAAAAAAGCAGGCCTGAAGGCCAAGGATTAAAGTCACCCACCTTTGGCTTTGACACCTCCTGTCCACAAGGTCAACTGAGCTCTGTTAACAAATATCAGCAACTACTGGGAAGAAAATGAGAGTTTTATTTGTGATACCGCCACTATTTTATGATAAACAACTTGATGCTGTCAGTATGAAATAAGATTTTCCTTCAAAAAATACTGGATAAATATTCAAGAATATTATGAAGTTGAACTTTGAATAGAAGAAATCAGTAAATCCTGTTAAGAGAAAATTGAAATTTGTTTTGCTAATATATTGGCAATACATTGCTAGAATGGCATCCACTTCCTAAATAACCTGCTTCCTGAAACTGGATGAACTTTAATAAATGTCAATAGTTGTAGAGGGGCTTCAGGGCTTTTGTTCATAGGGTTGCTATTAGTCGTGCTCTACTCGAAGGCAATCAACAACAGCAATAACATATTGCTAGAAGCATTTTAATATGTACTGGCTCTAATTAATTACTACAAGAATACTTATTTGTTCTTTTTATCAAAATCTGAGACTTGATTTTATTGTAATAGTGTTGTTAAATGCCATAGAATCAGAACCTAATTCCTAGCTGATCTTCCAGCAGGTTTTCAGAAACTGTAAATTTCACGGGAGGAGACTGACTGCCCACAGAGCTGTTAGTGGATTTGAACGTCTTGTCTTTGGGTTGACAGCATAAGTTCCTTACCTATTAGGCTACCAATACTTAGTATAATGGCTATAAAATATGTTAGAATGTTAGCATTTATTATCACTTGAATTCTAGTGTATGATTAATCAGAAAATAATGTCTGGGCCATAGACCAGCTAGAACTAATCTGACTAGGTGTGAAATCGGGTCAACTGTATATTTCTTTGAGCAGTATATATCAAGGGAAACAGGTTGGAGTTTTATGGCTGATTTAAATTGCAGGTATAAGAACGAAACCAGTAACTGGGGAGTATATTTTGACTCGAGGAAAGCTGAAATAGGGATTAAAACGACGTAGGAAGGAAATCAAGCCTAGAGAAGCCAGACAAGCCCCAACAGGACCTTGCTGTAGGCGTCCCTCGTCTCCATGACCACAAAGCACGTGGCCCGGAAGTAGGCGGAGCTCCTGGCAGGGCGGGGCAGCTCTGTGACGCCGAGGGCTGGGCCTAAATGGCGAAACCTGTGCGACTCCGGGGGGGGTTTGAACTGGCCAATGGGCGAGCTGCCGACGGGGTGTCGGAAAAGGAGGCGAAAGCGGGGAGGAGTCGCCGCTGGAGCTGGACTGCACTCGCCGCGGCGTCTCCATGGCACGACCCTGGCCTCCGACTTCAACGACTTCATAAGGAGGCGTTTCTGGGCTCAGCCCTGTCGCTCCTGGTGAGAGGCTGCCGGCATGCGGGACCCGGGGCGCCCCGCGGCCGCCGCCTGCGTCCGTCCCCCAGGGCGGGATCGTTCGCTTCGCGCCGACTCGGCGCGGTCGCCCTCTGCTGGGGTCTCCCGGGCCTTCTGACCCCGCCGGGCTCCCGTCTCCAGCCCTCTGGCTCGCATGGCCCTCTCCTGACAGAATCTGACCCCCTCCCGCCCCGCCCACCGGCGCGGGGCTTCTCCTTCTCCCGCTAACGGGCGGGCCACCCGGACTTCCTCCTTTGCTGCCCTCTGGAAGGGCTTCTCCCTTCTCTTTATGGGCAGAAACCGCATCCCTATTTCCTGCTGGTGGGTGATCGTCTCTCTTCTCCACCGATGGAGACTGTCCCCTCGCTCTTGCCCGTCTTCACCTTGTCCGCCTCTTCCTCCCAGCGGGGGCCGAGGCCCCGTGTTCATCTCCGCACAGCGGTTATTTACCTGCTCCCCGGAGGCAGCGTTGTCCCCCGGGGACCTCTTCCGGGGGCCCCTAACTCCGCTAGGCCGGTTTACCCGTCTGTGGCGCCTCTCTCGGGCAGCCTGCTCCATTTCCTGAAGTCGAACCTTTTAACTAGGTTATTAACTCCCAACCGGCACCTGCTGAGCCGGAGAGGCTATTTTTCCCTCTTTGCTCAGCTGCTTTTCGCCCATTTTCCCCTGTAGTCTCTGCTCCTCCCTCTTTCAAATACCATTGGCCCTCTTTGGGTATTTATTCTGCCGGGAACGCCCCTTCTCCTAGGAAACTGTTGCCCTGGCCCCGCCCTGAACATCCCTCCGGCTCCCTGTGCGATTCCGGCCCCTCGGGGCCCACTTGGGTCCTTGGGTTTCTCACTCGTCCTCTGTTCACGTCTGCCCGCAGCTCAGGTTTTCCCTCTTGTACCTCCGGGTGGGATCTGGGCATGATGTTCCTTTACTTCACTGTTAAGTCTCCTCCGCCCTTCCTTGGGGAGGGGAGTGACCCCGACTTGCCTCCTGGCCGCCCACTCCCGCCCCACGGGTCGCTCAGCCTCTCCTATCTTCCCCCCACTTTGGCAGGACAGTTGCTGTGCGACTTGGACAGTAGAGGAGCGCCTCCCAAGTTTTCATCCAACTGCCACTCCCAAAGCTATCACCCTCCTACCCTCAAAGAGGACGTTTGATGCCGGGCCCCTGAGATTCTCATTGACAAGCCCCTCTGGGTCCCCCTGAGCAGAGTCTGCTGACCTAATTGCCTATCTTTGCGGCTTTGATGCCTAGCCATGTCTGCCTCGTCCTCAGGCGGCTCCCCCAGGTACTTATTGCTAGTGTATGGGGGCACCTCCATGGTAGGGCAGGGAAAGGTGGTCAGGGGCCCCCAGGCCAGGTTCAGGCTTCTGGAAGCTTATTTTTCATCATCCCTGTTCTGTGCTCCAAAGTAATGAACCAGTGCATTTTAAAATCACTTTTAAAAGGAAGGAGGAAAACACACAATCCCAGCTTCATCTTCCTTCTTTCTGTCCCCTTCCTCATCTAGGTGTCATGGCTTCCAGGCAGCAAACAGGGTCACCAAGGAGTGCTTTGTCTCAGTGGAGTATTAAGCTGAGATGCTTTTTCGAAAGGATGCCAGGTGTAAATAAATAAAAATGTTGCTCAAAGTAGCTGCAGCACTTAGCGAGATGCTGAGGGGCGCAAGGTGTTTTGACAACCCCACAGTGAGGGAGATATTTTCCAAATCTATTTGGTGTCAAGTGAGCAGAAGTTCTCTGTCTCTCTGTCTCTCTCTCTGTGTAATGTCTTTTCTCGTATTTGGTAATTGTTGGCTTCCTGTTTTACTAGAGCTTCATAACAGTTTTTCTTATGTATCAGGCTGTATTATATAGCAAAGTGCATGATGTATTAAATGTTCTTTATTTTGCATTATTTCCCCTGTGCATTTGTGAGGAGGGCATAGTGATATTTTGCTGCTACCTGGAGACATGTAAGGGACCAAACTGTCTTCCCAAATCCTTGCCTATTCTGAATTTGTAGATGTTCTGCTGCCAAAATTTTTGGAGCTGGTTAAAGTTTTGCAGATTACAATCTGGGAGTAAGGATTGTATCTGTTATGAGTGAACGGAATTACATGTAGCACCAAAAAAAGTCACCAAGCAACCAAAAACCAAACAACTTGGTTCTTAAGAGCTTAAAAGGCAACAGATAGGATATTTTGGGTATTGCTTCCCCATTTTTGGTCTGTCTGTCATGGATTTTAGCCACTGTGATGTGATGTTCTTGGGCCCAATGTGCTATCTTGGGTTGACCATTCACTGTGTGTTATTCCTCCAGGGCTACCTCTGTTCCAGGCACTACCCTGGGCACATTCACTCTGCCTGCTTTTTGTAACCTGACATGATGACAGCTGTCCTTTTCAGCAAAAGGTCACAATACCCATGATGTGATAGCAGCTTAAAAGGCCACTTGTGCTAATCCCCATTACCCCATTTCCATTGCACAGCTGGGGTCACCATTCATGTCTGCTTATGTAAAAGGAACCAAGTCATTCCAGACTGATGCTCCTAGGCTAACTTGTTAGCCATAATATGCACTGAGAATTGTTAGGAGTCTAACATGTAAGAAGTAGGAGAGCCCTAATTTCCTGCTCATAATTTGGTTCTTGTGCCTGGGTGCAGGTTTCCATCGTGTGGGAAGAACGGAGTAACAAGTCTCACGCAGAAAAAGGTCTTGAGAACACCTTGTGGAGCGCCCAGTGTAACATTGACGGTAGGTGCTGTGCACACGAATCAGCCTTTGATCTGTGGCCCAGCAGAAGTACTTCCACACGCGTTTTCTAGAAGCTACTATACTCTGCCAAGCACTAGTGGTTTGGATATGAGGTTACATGCTGTCTTATGTATACTCTGATTTTTGTGTGTGTGTCTGTGAGGTGAGGCTGCCAGGAGATGAGAAAGTTGCCTTAATCATACCCTTCCTGACAAATTCCAAGAATCTTTAAAACTTATTTTCCTCCCACAAAGAGAAAATAACACCGAAGAATTGGACTCAGTGTTGCTAACAGGGACTGGTCTGTTGCTGGTGTGCTGTCCTCCTTGTTTCTTTAGAATCGGTGCCACAACCTTCCCATCCTTGGCATTTCCTCCAGTTCTGTTTCATAGCCTTTTACTCGCCTGTGCTGCCTGATTTAGTGTCCTAACCATTTTACACATTTCCGATGCTAATGCTCATGCTCAGATTAGATAGTGGTCTAGAAGGCTTCATGTGCTTTCCCCCTGTGCTGCTGTGCATCCTAAGAGGAGCTTGGCATCTCAGTAGGCTTGAAAGGAGATTCCGCTCTGAGGGCCCTGGGGCCTGGTTTTGGACTCTCTTGTAGAACCGCTGGTCTCACAGACACTACGAATGGACCTGATCCTCCCTGGTGGTCCTCAGCTGGGATCTTCACGGGAGCCTGCTGATGGCATTTCTGCCTCTCTTCTGTCTGCATGCCAGTAGTTTGTAGTTGTCCTGCTCGCTTGGTGGCTGGGCTTTCAGTGGCCATTAGAGGCTGTGAGCTGGTTTTTTATGCTCAGTTTACTCATCCACAGATCAAACTTTTTTATGTTGTCCCCTGCCTGCCAGAAGCGAACCATGAAGGACCGCTCTTCAACTCCCCCCTTACATGTTCACGTGGATGAGAACACTCCCGTCCACGTCCACATAAAAAAACTCCCGAAACCATCAGCGACCAGCAGCCAGGTAGGAGCATGCCAGTGGGCCGAGGTAATGGCTGTGGATTAGGGCATCATCTCTTCATTCAGCTTCCTCATGTTCCTAACTTGAAGAGATTGGGAGAGACATGCACTGTCTTTTGGTGATCACTTGTCCTTTTGGAAGGTAGGCAGAACCATCATCCAGAAACACAGACTGTGAGCTTAGTCAGGAGGCGCCCTGCAAAGTTGTAGGTGGACACCACCAGAGTGATGCCATAAGCAGCCATGCATGGAAATGACCCTGGGTTTGTCCATTTCCACAGAAATCTCATAAGCGCGGAATGAAAGGGGACACCGTGAATGTGCGGCGGAGTGTCCGGGTGAAAACCAAGGTACCTTGGATGCCCCCTGGAAAATCATCTGCCCGGCATGTGGGATGCAAGTGGGAGGTAGGCTCATTCTTGTTCAGGCTTTTCTTCTCGGACTGGTCAGATTCTAGCGGGCCTCAAACTCGGTATGATTCAGGGTCAGCTGTAGCTGTTACAGACTTCCTTACAGGCCCCATTTGGTGAACACCAAGTTAGATGCGGAGCATCTGCCAGTCTTCCTAGTCCTTACAATGCTGCTTTGTGGTAGGTTCTGCTATCCCAATTCATATGTGAGGAAACAGAAGCTCATAGGAATGAGCTGACTCGTCTGGAGTCTCACAAAGGAGTTGTAGTGGCGAGATTCTGGTTCAGAGATGTCTCATTCCCAAGGCTGTATTCTTAGCCACTGATTCTATGTGAGGAGCCATATAGTATCCCATGTAATAGTATCCGAATGGCATAGTTATGTTAAAATAGCTGAAGCAGAATTTTGTGTGTATGTGTATTTATCCAAGATAACATTTGCCTCTTTAATATAGCCCTTTTAGGAAACCATGTACACATTCTATAGATGCCATCAAAACTACTTTTGGATCAGTCTCCTGGAGGAAAGAAATAGAGACTTTAGTATTAGTTATCAAGGTGCTCGAGAGAACTGATTGCTTTTTTAGCCACATTTCAGCATGTATTAGCTTTCCATCCATCCATTCATCCATCTATCCATCCATCCATCTATCCATTCATCTTAATCTGTAGAGTATATATTTGCTGTCTTATACACGCCAACCACTGCTGAGAATTGGAGTTATAACTATTAGCCAGCCAGACATATTCCCTCAGTGATAAGGTTAAAAACATTTGTTCAGCTTTTATGCAAAGATCCATTCTTTTTTTAAAAAAATACGCATTTACATGTCATGCTGGCACAGGGGCCATGCTAATCTTCTCTGTACTGTTCCAGTTTTAGTATATGTGTTGCCAAAGTGAGCACCAAAGAGCTTTCTTGAGACCTCCACACACCATGTTAAAACACTAAACATCTATGCAGTTTTTCTGTGTCCCTACAAGTCCTTGAGGACTTGTAAGGACTTGGACCTACTTAGAATAAAGATTTCAGTCTTTTTTTCTGACAGTGTATTACTTATTTATTTTTTTTCTTTAAGATTTATTCTAACCTTGCTCAGCCACATGTCAGCCTTGGATCAGCCTTAAACTTACAGAATATATTATATACTGTATATGTGTATGTGTGTGTGTGTGTATATATACACACACACACACATACACATATACAGTATATAATATATATATTACTTTCAAGATTAGAAATAAAAAGTAAAATTACTCAGAAGTTTATGGTCATAAGTTCATGGTTTTGTTTTACCAGCTTATCCCTAAGAGACACACGTAGTATGTCTTATTCTAGGCAACAAAAAGAAACTGTTCTGTTGTATATACACACACACATGCATAAACACACACATGTATGCACATGTATAAAAAATGCTAGAAAGATGGGTGCTTTTAGTCCTTTTACTCTGTGAACTGTGCTAAAACTCAGTAAAATAAAAACAGTTAATGTTTTAAAAAGAAAAGTAAGCTGCTATCTTATTTAATGGTAAAATGTCAAATAATTTGTCTTGACAAACTTATCGAGAGACAAAGAACCTTCTTGGCTACTTTCCTTCAGTCAGTCTGTGAAACTGGTTCAGCTTTTCCAGTAGGTAGTTTGACAGCATCTTGCAAAAAATTGACTCTCTAGTTTTAGATTTAAGAATTTATTCTACAGATGTTATTAGAGTCAGAGTCCTTGCCATGGAGTCGAACCAACTCATAGCTGACCTTCTTGCAGATTTTCTGAGGCTGTAAATTGCATCACAGGAGATAGCGCATCTTGCTCTGTTGGAGCTGCTGGTGGATTTGAGCGGCCTGAGAGGTGCCACTGTTTAGTTAGCAGTTCTACCAGCTGGACCCTGTAGAGGAATACAAATGCAGGCATCTGTATATAAAGATGATTGCTGCAATATTGCTTATAACAGAGAAAAAATGAGTGACAGTCTAAATCATGAGGGTGGTAGTGGTTGTTGCTGTCTACCATTGAGTCGGAACTGACCCATAGATGACCCTTGGAGGATTTTCAGAAGCAGCTAATCAACAGGGGAGGAGATTGTCCACCCTTCTCCTGTGGAGCATCTGGTGACCTCGAACTATATGCCTTCAGGATTGCAGCTCAGTTTCTTGCCCCTAGGGCACCAGAGCTCCCTAAATCATGAGGGTATTAGTAAATTATAATACATTTGTACAGTGGAATACCTTGTAGCCCATATAAAGAATGAGGTAGGTTTTAAATGTGATAGCAAAACACAGCTACAGAGTTTGGCTGTATTTGAAAAAAAAAAAATGGTGTTAATACATACATATTCTGGAAGGCTATACTAAAAAATGGTAAGTGGTAATTACTGTTTGTAGGATGGGGACAGAGCTGATTTTAATATTTCACTTTTTTATAAATTGAGTATCTTTATAGCAACCATGCATTTTTTTTTTCATTTAATGTCTTTTTATTGTCGTTAGACAATTTTCCACTTTTGAAATATCACAATGAAAAGGAGACAAAGTATGTAGGTTTCAAAAACAAATGGCTGATTAGAAAAAGAAATATAATATGATATGAAATGATAGATGACTTCTAATATGATGTGCTGCAGAAGAAAGATTGGCAGTCACCTCCCATGTGATTTGCTGCCTCTGAAAACCTGCTGGAGGGTCAGCCATCGGCTGGTTCTGACCCAACAGATGGTACACTACCACCACCACCACACAACAATATGATGTAGAAAGTTGGTCAGGAAGTCAGGAAATATAGAATCAGGTCTGGGCTTGTTTTATTATTAAACTATCCCAAAGAAGGGCGACCCAACTGAGTGTGGAAACTACAGAACAATCTTATTGATTTCACATGCAAGCAAGATTCTACTAAGATTATCCAAAAACAACTGGAACAGTACATCAGCAGAGAACTGCCAGAAGTCCAGGCTGGGTTTAGAAGGGGTCGTGGTACTAGGGATATTGTAGCCGATGTTAGATGAATCTTAGCTGAAAGCAGAGAATACCAGAAGAATGTCTATCTGTGTTTCATTGATTATGCAAAGGCATTTGACTGTGTGGATCATAACAAACTGTGGCTGACTCTGAGAAGAATGGGAATCCCAGAACATTTAATTGTGCTAATGCGAAACCTATACTTGGATCAAGAGGCAGTTGTCAGAACAGAGCAGGGCAACACTGCATGGTTCAAAATTGGGAAGGGTGTACGCCAGGGATGTGTCCTGTCTCCATACCTTTTCAACCTGTATGCAGAGCAGATTATCCGAGAGGCTGGGCTCTATAGCGTGGCGTTAGGATTGGTGGACGATCTATCAACAATCTGCGTTATGCAGATGACACAACCCTGCTCGCTGAAACTGAGGAGGACCTCATGCACTTGCTGCAGAGGGTCAAGGAGCAACCATGCATTTTATAAAATGATATTTTTTTTTGGTGACGGTTGGTTTTTAGTGAAATGCTTTGTAGTTTCAGATTATAAACTTCCTGTTGACATTGATTGCTATAACTTTGATTCCCTGTAGAAATCTCAGTGCTGTCCTCTTCTGGTCCTGAGGCCAAAGAATTGTTTCTAAAGATAGAAGCCCCTAAAGAATTAACTGTTCTAGTCTATGAGCAGCTCTTCTAGTAGCTTTTTCTCATGTCAGCATCTTTCCACTCCCATTGACTGTTCACTGCTCAGTTCTTGTTTGGATCATTCATTGTGTAGGCAAAGGGGGGAAAAGACTCAGACACAAGCTGGAAGTGAATATCGGAAGATATTAATGGTTCTTATTCATTTGAATTTTTAAATTCCTTGTGGTACATCAGATTAGAAGAAATAAAGTCTAGTTTTTTTCCCTTCTCCCTATATTAAAGCTACTTGATCTACATTTCATTATGGAAAGTTGAAAATACCAAAAAACAATGACTTGTAATGTTACTGTTCAAATAGGCAACTATTGGATTTTTACAAATTGAATATACTTTATTCATCTGTAAATGTAAATCATCACCCAACTTTCCCAAAACTTTCTGGTTTTGTTCTGTACCACTTACTGCCCTCCAATACCAGAGGTAACCACTGTTCTGAAACTACCAATATTTTGTAAAATTTACTATCAGACTTTTTCTTATGTATTACTCATTGCCATTGATTTATGCCAACTGGCCATCCAGCATGTTTTCAGGAGGTTATAAACATATGAGAGGGCTCTTTTTTTTTTCCCCATTCAGAGCTGCTGATGGATTTGAACTCTAGAGAGATGCCACCTTGTGGTTAGAAGCACAACTGCCTGTAGACTCCCCCAGCCCCCTCCAGAGCTAAAGTTTTTTCTTTTAGTATGGTGGCAATCATTTTATCTACAGAGTTGTTATTATCCTTTGAAAAATAAGAAATAACTTTTTTCTTATAAAAGCAATGTTGTTGTTGTTGTTATGTGCCGTCAAGTCGCCAGCAATATATTGTCATTTTTGAAAATGAGAAAATTCAAATCAGTACAAAGATGAAAGGGAAAAACCCCTCTGATCCCACCGCCAGTGTTAGTTGTTGTGTGCCGTCGAGTTGGAACCAACCCATAGCTGGCCCTCTAGTAGGTTTTCAAAGGCAGTAAATCACACAGGAGGAGATGGTCTATCTTTTTCTTTCAGAGCAGCTAGTGGATTCAAACCACCTGCCTTTGGCTTGGCAGTACAGTTCCTTACTCACTAGGCCATTAGAGCATCCTACCGATATAAGAGATCCATGTAAACCCTAGGTGAAAGTCCTCTTGAGTTTTATGAACAGATGGTGGCTTAGATGGTGTAGCAGTTTAAATCTACCAGCTACTGTGCAGTAAACATTTACACCTTCAGAAACCCGTGGAAAGTCCACCAACCCAGTGACGCAGGAGGTTTTTTTCATTTTTGTTGCACGTATTTTGGAAGCTGTGCTGCACACGGTTTAGGGAGTTGTACTTTTTTTTTTTTTTAAATTTTATTTATTTTTTTTTTACAGAGGTTTTGGATTTCTATTCATTCATTG